CAAATCCTTGGGTTTATCCTTAATGTCCCCTCTCACGTCTCGCTGGGATTCGTGGCGTTACCATTACGCCGAAAGCACTGGTTAGCCATCCGGCAATTCCACGGTACCTACTATAACCTCGACTCCAAACTCCGGGCGCCTGTCCCCATCGGTGGTGAGGTCGAGCTTAGGTAGGCGCCCGTTGGGTGACGTTGGGTGACACAAACGCAGGGACATGGGTGCCACCTCCGCCTCTCTCTCTCTCTCTCTCTCTCGCCCCGGCAGAGCTTTCCTGCGGGATTTCCTCTCCCAAGGTCTCTGTGAGGTTTTCCTCGTCGTGCCGCGTGCTGTGGAGGAGGCGGGTGCCTGGCTGAGCCCCGAGTGACTCGTCACCAGTGGGTGACACTGATGGGTGACACTGGCGTGGGCACGCTGCCTTCCCTCTGTTTCGGGATGAAACCGCGACGTTTTGGGTCTTTTATCCAGGCGCTGCTCATCCGGGGTGGGAGGGGTTGTTACGACGTGAAGCCGGATGGTTTTGGGGAGCGGTGGGGACCCCGGAGCACGCGTCTGATGTCACCGTGCCACCGCGGTGCATCGATTCCCTGATTTCGCCCTGATTTCACCACCTTGTGTCAACCGGGATTCCTCCGCAGGTGTGCGACGGGGTGCGGGTGTTGTTAACGGGGTGTCGGTGAGGAGAGTGCCTTGCACGTCGCTTGTGCGTGCCAGGCACAGCTTGGGAGCGGTGGGGACCCCGGAGCACGCGTCTGATGTCACCGTGCCACCGCGGTGCATCGATTCCCTGATTTCGCCCTGATTTCACCACCTTGTGTCAACCGGGATTCCTCCGCAGGTGTGCGACGGGGTGCGGGTGTTGTTAACGGGGTGTCGGTGAGGAGAGTGCCTTGCACGTCGCTTGTGCGTGCCAGGCACAGCTTGCGCGCGTCGCACGCTCGTTAACGCGTGTCACGCTGCCGGTTGTTCGTCCCTCGCCGCCGCTTGTGTGTGCCCGGCGTTCTGTGTCACGCGCTGGTTGTGCGTGGC